ACAGAATTATCCCTACACACCTGACTAGGAATGAGAGAAATGGTGATGAAAGATCTAAAGTCTATTATAAACTGCACCTACCTAAACAAGGTCAAGCAACTCATGTCTGATAAATTCCAGTCTATTTAAAGACCAAACACAAGAAAACTTTCCAGTTTTGCAAATAGGCACTTTCCTTCTCATTGGCCAAAAAAACACTTTTACATATGTAGCAATACAATATTTCTTGGCCGTCCCCAGGCACCACTGATAAATGAAACAGGTAACATGCATTTCACATTCCACTCGCCATTCCTAGCTTTGCCCTGACTCACACTTCTCTATTCTCTGAGGTGCCCTCTGTCCACAAAGGTTTCCCAGTTCCTCTAGGGAACACATTCATCTTTCTCGTTGGAAACCCACTACTACTAAGGCTTGAGCATGTAGTTGGGCTTTTACCTGCTCTCTAATTTATTTGCTACTCAATCTTGTTCTCCACCCAGATTGAAACAGACCAATGTTCACTCTAATTTTGTATCATTGCAATAACTAGGGCTGGATCTATATTGAATCAATCCCTTTCTCTCAGATGTACCATCATCACCCAATCATTCACCCACCTAGCTATTTCTAGGTTAAAAGTGGCACCTTGGGATCTAGTGTTGATCACCTCTTGTGGATCTCTCACTGGCCTAGACAGCTCAAAAGAACAGGTTAGCATATTAGTTGGTCATTTTCTAAGTCATGTAAATTACAAACCCTTCTATATTGTTAGCTATGATTGGATTCATACAAACATAAAAGTGTTTTTCCTAGCATATAATTGTTATTTATGTAAATGAGCCAAAGATGGCTTGTGTATATTGGCCCCTACATTGTTTATTTCTTCATGCAGGCTGAGACCCATTAGGGCAAAAGTTCATGAACACCAAATTCAAGTTTTTACATATCTAATAACTTTTTTAAATATCCCAGATTTTTGTTATAATAAAATAAAAATCCCCAAAGTAAATCTTCAGCTACTTGGAGGCTGCCTGCTCTGCATGCCCCACAAAACCTCACCCTGATGCTACTCAATTTTTAAGATATGGCTACTGTTATGAGACCCCAACTATCACCACAGCCCGAGGGAACTCCTAGACACGCACACTCCTTGCTGACACTCCACCCAGACTCCTGGGAGCTTTGTTGCCTCCTTTCCTCACAAGGCAGGGAAGCCTCTAGAAGGATCCTGCTGGGAGGAACTTCCCCTACACCAAACTTTTCAAAGCATTACCCAATTAAATTTGTGTGTGCTCCTGTCTCTGCCCTATGGTCATAGCTTTTCCCTAGATCAGCTCCCAAACACCTCAAGCCTCTACAATAATACACAATATTTATTTCATAGGATGTTAATAGATTTTACCTGAAAAAAAATATGGTCCCATGGTGAATTTAGTTTTGGAAATGCTGTTAAACAGATTTCTTTACCAGAGGGCATCTCAGAGCCTTTACTATATTTATAATGCACTCTGACTCTCCGAGAAAAGAATGAAAAGCTCAGGGTTTCACATACTCATTTCACCATGGAAACATTAAGTGGAGAGAATCTTGGGAAGGTAGATGCACAGCCAGGTTATCACATCAGAGGAAGTAGCCCCTGGGCATGGGTGGGTGGGCATTAGGGGGAAAAATAATAAATTCTCCCTGTATGTCTCGAATAAATATTGGTTTATAAATACCATTGTGCGCTAAAAGAAACTAGGGCTTCTGGAAAAAATAGTTGATTCCAGAGCTGGGGGAAAGAAATAACTAGATGATCCTAAAATGTCTTTTTATGTGAAAAAGTAAAGAAGCCTTCATAGAATGGATAGTGAGAGGTCAAAATTATATTGGAGCTTAAAGTGCCAAATTAAGGAAGATTTCAACATCAAAAGATGATGATAAAAATAGATGAAACCTATGAAATAAAATAAAAATCTATAAGTAGATGCTGGTAGAATCATCCCTTGGAACACAGAGGATTGACTGCATCCATGAACGTTCAAATCCCTTATATAAAAGGGCATGGTGTTTGCATACAACCTATTTACATCCTCCCAATACAGCTTTAACTATCTCTAGCTTACTTATAATAACTACTACAATATAAATGCTACATAAAAAAATTGTCATACTATATTGCTTACAGGATAAGTAAAGAAAAATGTCTATGTACAAAGACATAATTTTTAAAAAAAATATTTTCCATCTATGGTTGGTTGAATCCATAGAAACTACAGAACCTCCATTTGTGTGTATATGTGCGCACACACAAAAAAAAGAGAGATTTAAGGCCAAAAGATTGAAAAGCTCTATCTAGTAGTAGCCTGACAATAAAAGGAGAAAAAACAACAGGATCAGAAAATTATCATTTGGGAACCATCATAGTAATAACTGATTCAGACAAGAATTATCAATGGATGCTAAACTTGGTAAACAGTTTATGATGAATAAGACACACACATGCTAAAAGTACAATTAGAATTCATTAATCACGTCTCTCAAATGGTGAAAACATACACATACACAAATTGTAATACAGAATAATAAATTAAATGGGGCATAAGTTTAAACAACTGACAAATCTGGGTGAAATCAGGTAATGTTTTTCTATTCTTTAATTTTTTATATAAACTTAAAATCACTTCAAGATAAAAAAAAAAACAAATTAAGTGCTGAAAAATGTCTCTTCTTTCAAAACATTTTGGTGTTTCATTACAGTTCTAGCTGCTCAATTCAATTGTTGAATCGGTTAATTAATGTCTCACCCACTTTGATCTTTTCAGAAGCCTTTATCATTGAGCAGAGGAATCCCTCCCTTATTTCCAGGAACTCAGTGCTCCTTCTTCCAACACCCTCTGCTCGAGAAGTTCTTCCATCTAGTTGGAGAGTCACTATGTTTATGGTGATGTGGCTGTACACCTTGCTATGGTGGAATAGGATTTGTCCCTCCAAAAGTCATGTTGAAATTTGATTGTCATTGTGGCAGTGTTGGGAGGCGGAGACTTTAGGAGGTGACCATGTCATTAGGGAGGATTAATGCAGTTCTCACAGGACTGGATTAGTTACTGTGAGAGTAGGTTATTTCAAAGCAAGACCATCCTGTGTTTTGTCTTTTTCTAGGTGCTCACTTGTCCTTCCACTTTTTGTCACCATGTATGACATGAAACCTTTATAAGATTCAGCAACCAGGATTTCTCCAGAATTACAAGCTAAATACACTTCCTTCCTCTATAAATCACCCAGACTCAGGTAGGTATGTTGTTATAGGAAAAAAAAAAAAACATAAAACACCCTTCAACACCTTCCTCAAAGGCCCCAGAGAAAGTACAATGTACACGTACAGTAACTACAGAATAACTTAACTCAGAAGTAATTTTTTTTGTATGACCTTCCCAGGAATACACAAGAATAAAGGTTGTAATTTTACTAAAACTTTGAAGTTTTACATGGGTTTTTGCATCCCCTTCTTAACAGGTCATTCCTTGTTCTCTTTTGAAATCTTTCAATGTATATTATCTCCTCCCATTCCCCAGAGCATCTGGCACAATGGCAGGTGTGTATTAGGTGCTAAGAAATATTTGACTGACTGCAATGTACTCACCTTTTCCTGTACTAAAGGGAATAAGCTTCATTGTATTATGTGTGTGCTAAAAAACTGTTTAACTAATATTTCAGTGAAATTAACATTTTCTCATTTTCTTTCATTAGACAATCAAAGATACAATAAGAAAAATTATAGATAAGATTATGAAACACTTAAAATTGAAAAATATTTTGTCAGAGTCTATCAGTGGTATCCACATTTTTAAGCCTCAAACATTTTAAAGTAACACATCATGTACTATAAAGGAATCAGTGGCAGACATCGTATTAAAAGCTAGAAAGGAGAGATGTTCTATAATTCAAACTATCTTACTCCCTATAATATAATGCTTCCATTTTAAAATATTAAGGCCACCAAGAGTAATTATCATCTTTTTTTTTTTGGTACAGGAATTGAGCCTAGGGACACCCAAAAACTGAAAACTGAGCCACAGCCCCAGTCTGATGCTGACTTTGAACTTGTGATCCTTCTGCCTCAGCCTCCCAAGCCACTGAGATTATAGGTATGCTCTACCACACTCAGTGACATCTCTTTTTGAAAGTAAACTTAGGGTTAATAACAGTGCTTAAGACCTTAGTCTCTAGATTCAATTCCATCATGTAATAAATAAGACAATTTACTAAGTGACCTCTAAAATTATTTCATTTTATTAGGCCTTAGTTTTCTTAGCTATAAAACAGGGATATTAATGATACCTAAATCAAAGAGTTGTGGTCAGGCAAAAATATAGTAGTATTTATAAGTCAGTGGACACATGATAAGCACTGAACAAAAGCTTCTAATTATGGCCATGATTAAGTGAAAATGGAAAAATAAATAGAATCCAAAAGTATATACGTAGCATAATTCAATTTCATTAAAAAGGAAAAAAACATTTACTTTTATATAAAATATGATTATAAATGTATACTTGTGTTTATGAATCTCAATGCATATTTACATGTTATATACATATTTTATATATATACATACATATATATATATATATATATATATACACATACATATATATATATGTTTGGAAAGAGTGAAAGTCATGTGCATATGAGATTCATTCAAAAAAAAAAAAAGATTTTAAGACCATAAACTACCAGAGTAGTCACTTAAAATAAATGAATAACAACATACTTTTATTCTTGCATTTTACTGTATTCTTCAAATTTTCTGCCCCGATGAATGGATACCTTTGCAATATCACCCTAAAAAAAATGCCATTTAAACAAACTTATACAAAAACAAAACATTTAAACATTTTAAAGTGTTATATTCAAACATATTTTTACCATTATTTCCAGCAATTAGTAAAATATGTTATCTTTCTCATTGCTTTACATGGCCTGCTGGCTTTTCATTATAGAATAACTACAAAGCATTCAACATAAAAAAAGATTACCCTCTGCAAGCTCCACTCGGGTTGTCTGCCAGTCCCATCATGTCCTATTCTTATTTTATATATCTCTCCAACCCTTCTTATTTCAACCTGAATGAAATACAAGGGAGAAAACAAATTGCACAGTTTTTAAAATTAAGCATGCTGTTTATTTTCTTTTTTCTTCATATTGAACTTCTACATTCTTTGGGGTTTTTTTTTTTTTTTTGGTTGTTGTTGTTGTTATTTTGTATTGCTAATAGTTGAAAAGCTCTCAGGGACCCTTTCAGGATCTAGAGATGAAGTCCTCTCAAGCTATCAGTGAACTTCACAGACATAGAATACGAGACAGAAATATCCTGAAACGTGGCTAAAAATATGCAGGGAAGAGTCAGATGAAAGAATAGGATAAAAAAACATGCATATGCTCGGTTCTCTGACTACCACACATTTCTCACTGGAAGCCAACACTTTCTGAATTCCAATGACAGAAAGATAGGCTCTTATTTTAAGATGGGAAAAAAAATCAATTTTCACACACACTCACACACAAAAGCTAAATATACAGCAATTTCTACAATAAAGTCCCCGTGAGTCTAGAACTTCCTTCCACTCTGAAAAATCCTCTCTTTTTTGCCTCCTAGGATAAGATATAGATGTTGTAAGTTCAAGGAAGACAAACAAACCTGCCCACAGGTTAGGGGAACTAAAGTTAGTTTTGGATATGACCCCAGAGTATTTGTTAATCCAGATAGTGTGGAGAAATAGCCATAGAATTACCTCAAGCTCAACTGAAATGCTGGTTGTTACACACTAAGTACTACATGGTGTTCTATGTCTCTGGTCCTTCCTCCATCAAAAGGACATAATGCTACTGCATAAAATTCTCATTTCAACTCATGAGGATTTTTTAAAACAATACTCAAGACATTGTGGAAGGCCACAGGTATGCAAAGATAAATATAACAGCAGAGTTTCTAACTTGGAGAAATACAGAACCTAGAGAAAGAGATTTATAAGCAGACATTTTCCATATAAGAAAATACATCCAGGATACTAAACCATGAGGATTAAAACCTATATTTTATCACCTTATTATTTAATGACTGAATTGATAATAACCATCATCCTTATTTCTACTACAAGTAACCATCTGATGACTGGAAACAAATAGGCAGGTACTGCTCACGGGTTTTATTTGACTTACATCATTGCATATCTATGGTAGATCCCAACACAGTTGGAACAGTCAGGTGATCCAAAATATATCAAAACTCCCACTTCATACCCATGTTCTCTGCTTTGAGATTCTTTTTTTTTTATTATTTTTTAAGTGCTCACCACCACATCCTCCTCACCTTACCCCCAAACTATATAGCAAATAAAACAGACCTGAGCCTGTGTCAGCAGCAGTTTCGGAAAAATCATGCTGGTGTTGACTGGAAGGGAGTAAAAGAGAGATGCTAATCCTTCATGGTCCATTTCAATCCCCTCCTACTTTCTTATTCCCAGAGAGGATCATAACCCCAGAACTCAAAGGCTGGCTCTTCCTACCAGAAGAAGCCAGAAGTAAGCCCTCATTTGAGACCTGGTTTAACTCTGAAAGGTAAACCAACCTTTAGATCTCCTTCTGTTGTCTCAAGAATCTCTTAGAACTTGAGTCTAGACTTCCCCTTTCTCCACATTCTAAGTGAATACAATACAGAGGTGTCTGAGCCATCGGGCAAACGTGTAACTTCATGCAAGTCTGCTGTTACCGCAGATTGAACTATGCAGCAGTGAGAAGTGCCAGCCAGGGTGCAAGTGCTGGACAGGCCTGCTCTCTTCCAACTGCATGCAGCTTTGGGAAGAGGAAAGCTCTTCCAAGAGTCTCCCTTAACACATGAAGAAATCCAAAGACATTCAATCATTTGTCTGGAGACACACAGCTGGAAACACAATAAGTTCCAAAAGTAAAACTGGAACTCAAGCCTGCTTGGTCAGAGGTACCCACCTTCCTCAAAAATGGTTTTATGCTCCCTTTGATAGAAATGAAGAAAAAGAGAATGAGAGAGAAATTCAGAGGTGAAAAATGATACCGATTTAAAGGAAATCAAAGCCCACAGAAGAGAAAGAGACAGTAGGGGTGAGCTAACTAATCCAAATTTAGGGTTGTCAGACTATCAAGAGTCCCCAGCATCCATGTCTAGTAACCCCTAACCCAGTGCTTCTCAAACTTTAATATGCACACAAAATTACCAAAGCGTCTTGCTAAAATGCAGGTTCCATCCCACTGGATTTGGGAGTCAGATTCTGCAAGTCTAACCAGCTCCCAGATGATGCTGGCCTGGAGTCCATATAACTCTTGAGTGGACTCCTGATCACCAATGAGATGACAGCTTGGTGCTGGATGAGCCTCTGCCCTCACTTCATGGTTAATGAGAGTCTAGGAGGGAATATAGCCTAATGCCTCTGACCAGGAAGGGGAGAATTCTTGGCAACTTTTGTAATGATACTTTTCATCTATTGGGTATTTCCCATCTACCAGGCATGTGAAGAGCACATACAATCCCAAATATTCTTTAAATCTCCCAGAAAGCTTTTTGAGTGAGTATCATTACCCTCTTCTTCAACTAAAACGGAAACTCAGGATTCATAGGACAGGCAATCAATTCAAGGTTAGGGAACTAGTGAGAGGCTGATTTCAATTTGAATTTGGCAGCCACAACTACAAAGCTTCCATTCTTAACCAATTGACTACATTTCCTGTATGTCAATAAATTCTTTTTAACGTTTATACATTTTCACTTTTTGTTATCAGACTTCCCTGGAATTTAGAAAGGATGGATCTTATTGCCTCCATTCTACCCATAACGACGATGCTGGCCTGGAGAAATGAAGTGACGTATTCAAGATCACACACAGCTAACATATGGGAAGCCAGGACTCCAACCCAGCTCACCTGATCCACATTCTGGTGTTGTAATGAGATTTCTCAAGCTTGACTGCACTTTAGAATCACCTGGGGAGCTTTTAAAAATCTCCATGCCCAGGCTGTACCCCAGAAAAAAATAAACTAGAATCTCTGGAGGTGGAACCAGTCATCAGTCGTTTTTAAAACTCCCCAGGTGATTCCAATGTGCAATCATGAGCATCTATACCATTCTAAGATTCAATGCTGGGTAAATTTTTCCAGAAAAAAACATAGAAAGGATTTATCAGACCATAAATACATGCACCATAAGGTATATTATGGGAAAATGAGTCTTCTGTGGGATGGCCTTAGGATCTAATCATAATATATGCACTCTGAGTTCTAAACAATCATCTTCAAATAATCTTTGGAAATCCATTGCATACAAGGTGCCTTGAGCCAAAGTGCTCCTTCATGACTGCAGACGACTACTTTTCTTCTAACTTAATGACGGAGAAAGTAGAATGGACAAGTTTGGGTCTGAAGATTTAGAAACCATTTGGATATTAGTTAAAAGCCAGGTACTGCAGCCCGCAGGAGCCTTGTCTAGTGGCCCTGGTTGTCCTTTCTGGTTCTCTGTTATTTTCTAGCCAGCCTCAAGATGCAAAAGGAGAACTCTCCAGAGGAGATGACTGCTGTTTAACAATGCACCAAAGAACTAGATAGCTTGCGCCCTGCAGGGTGTGAGGTGTGAATCAGTGGAGTAGAACGCAATTGTCCTCATTGAAATTTGGCCAACACTCTGAGGAACAAAGATGGGACAAACAGCTGTATTCAAAGCACAGTGTTCTCTGACACCAGCAAGTAAAAGAGAAATTAGAATAGGCATCGACAGAGCTTTAGAATCTGGTGCATAAAGATGCCAAGAAAATAATTTCAAACCCCTACAGCTCAGGTGAGCAACATCTAAAAATATATGCAAGTATAAAAAAGACGGATTTTCATTACCAGAAGAATCTAGATTGCTTATAACCTGGTTATAACTTGAGTTGAAGCTAATGGTTTATGGGGCCGGTTTCTAAATGATGACCTAAAATGAATCGTCTTTAAAGAAAACACTTTTCTCCTATAAGTTTCCTTGCTTATGTAAGATATGTGAGCGAAACTGTTTCCTTTGATTATTAGAATGAGAATTTACATAACTAACTGATGGGGATGCTAATAGACTAAAGATTTATTTCAGATAGGACACAAACACACAGTCACACTTTTCTGTATTTCAGAAATGTCATTGCAAACTTCAAAGAACAGTGTTGTTGATGATTCTGTTTACCTGAAACTCATCTTCCTGTCTTGGAAGGAAGAGCTGCTCTGGGCTGTCCTTGCTAAGACTGATTGGTCCAGTGACTCCTTCATCTCCATATACCCAGAGTGTGACATTGGCCTTTGTCCCTGTATTTCCTGTCAGCACTATCACCTTCCATTCATCTTCAGACAGAAGAGTCTCGCTGCTTTGGGAACGTCTGATTTCTTCTGTATGCGGAAAAAGGGCATTAGTGGCAGATCAGATACAACATCATGTTGACAAAATCCTCTGTCACATGGGAGCCCAGGGTCATCAAAATCAGGTGGGGTGTGTGAGGAGGCACTGAGAAGACTCCAGGGAGTTGATTTGTGCTTGTCTCCTTACAGTAAGGTTCTGGTCAGCTGAAACTCGACTACTAAAGTAA